ATAGCAAGCATCTGAGCTTTGCTAGCAAGGATACCAACTATTTTAGAAGCAAAGCTGATGGACTCAAGAAAGGCAGACTTGACACTGGTGGCAAGTACCATGAACAAAACGTAGCAGCTGTTGAAGCTTCATATTTGGTGACACTCAAAATCGACAGAGGTATGAAACCTCATACCATTGCTGAGGATTTACTGTTGCCAGTGGCCAAAGACATTGTTCGAGGTATGATCGGAGACGAATTTGTTACAAAATTGAGTGCAATTTCCTTATCTAACGACACTGTCCGCAGAATAGATGACATGTATGCTGACATTCTTGATCAGGTAACCCAGGAAATTAAATCTGCTCCACTTCCAATATTTAATATCCAGATTGATAAATCTACAGATGTTGCAAACTGTTCACAGTTACTGGTTTACGTGAGGTATATTAATGATGGTGACTTTAAAGATGAGTTTCCTTTTTGCAAACCTCTTGAAACAACAGCTACTGCATGTGATGTATTTGACACAGTTGGTTCATTTCTGAAAGAGCATAAGATCTCTTAGGAAAAAAGGTTTGTGGTGTTTGCACAGATGGTTCCAAATGAAACTTCAGCTTTGGCAAAAAAAAAAAAAAAAATGGATGAAAATAAAAATTACATGTTGTCTACCTTATCTGCTTTCTTTGAAGAACATGACATTGAACCAGACAAAAGGATTACGATGATGATTTCTGTGAAAGAACACTTGCACATGCTTGCAGATGAAATTTCATCATACTTTCCAAATCTACCTGAAACCCCATTTGCAAATGCCAGAAGCCCATTCACAGTTAAAGTTGAAGATGTTCCTGAAACAGCACAAGAGGAGTTCATTGAACTTATTAACAATGATGCAGTGAGAACTGATTTCTCTACAATGCCAGTTACAAAATTCTGGATCAAGTGTTTGCAGTCATATCCTGTTCTGTCTGAGACTGTGTTGTGCCTTCTTCCATTTCCAACAACATATCTTTGTGAAACAGGGTTTTCCAGCTTCTTGGTTATCAAGTCTAAATATAGAAGTAGACTTGTTGTGGAAGATGATGTACATTGTGCTCTTGCAAAGACTGCCCCGAGAATTTCTGATCTGGTGAGAAAGAAGCAATCTCAACCTTCACACTGATGTTGGTTTTTTATGCATACTGTCGCAAAATGTAGCAATGTATTTTACTGTTGTTATATTAAGACTGATACCCATGCTACATCATGCTTCAAGACAAAATTTCATTTATTTTAATTAGAAATAAATATATCACAATATATAATTACATATTGTTTTGTGATTAATCAGTATGCTTTAATTATGTTCAATTTGTAACAATGAAAATACATCCTGCATATCAGATATTTACATTATGATTCATAACAGTAGCGAAATTACAGTTATGAAGTAGCAATGAAAATAATTTTATGGTTGGGGGTCACCACAACATGAGGAACTGTATTAAAGGGTTGCAGCATTAGGAAGGTTGAGAACCACTGCTCTAAAGCATGCAGGAAAAAAAACACACAAAGCAAAACAAACAAAAAACTCACTTAAATATAGTGATGTTCAAACTCCAAACAGATTCTCCAAGATCAAACCTTCTCATAACATTGTACCCACCACTTCCATCACCACTACCAACCAACAACAACAACAGCATGAGTAACAGCAACTACCGATTCCCTACAAAGTTGCTCTTTTGTTTATTTAACATAGTTGTTAATGTTAAGCATATACCAACATCACCAGGAAGTTATATTAAAACACAGATTTTTGGGTCCTACCCCTCCCTAGGGTTTTTTATTCAGTAGGTCTGGGAAGGGTCACAAGAAATTTTATTTCTAACATGATGCTGGTGGGGTTGGTTTGCGAGCAATCACTTGAGAGAAACATTTAAAATAAGTTAATAGGATTTCACTCACTGAAATTTAATGCAGAGCCTATTATAATGCAAATAGTTGTTCTGTGTAGTCTTATTTTACAAAATTCAAGATAGAAAACTATGACAGTGCAATGTTAAGAGAGAGAACTAACTACATTATATTGAATGTTAAATTGAAAGATCAGACAGAGGCCGAAAACCAGGACTACAGGCTATATTGGAGGAGAAGGACCTGCGGGCTGTCTCGCAGGGGAGGACAGCAGCGCGTGCAGAGGTGAACACGCCTTTTGAGGGGTGGAATGGGAAGGAATGGGGGCACGCTGATTGGTGGCTTAATGTATGGTCCATATAGGAACAAGGGCTTAGGGTATCTGGCAGGTGTTGATTGGTGGTTCAATGTATAGTCCATATAAGGTGCCTGGTTAGGTACTCAGGTATTTCCAGGCTGCAGGTTACATCGCACTCCGCCCACCAGTTGGGGGAAGGGAGGATCTATCATTAATGATTACATGGGTCCAGTATGACTTATCCCTGACAGTGCTTGGCTTGGCATTCTGCTAGGCAAGCTCAGTTAATTAAACCAAATAACTCCCTATGTCCTTTCTGTACTTTTGACCATATCTATCCTTTCCCTTCTTTCAAGTTATTATGTGATTCTTCCTTTGTCTGAAATAGACTCCTTCAACCCCAACCCATCACATGGCTAGCTCCTATAGTACTTTAAAGTTAATCTTAAATGTCACTTTTTCCAGGAGGTCTTTCTTGAAGTATTTCTTTTCTCCTTTTTCCAGTGAGAGCATGCTGTGCTCATCTCCACCATAGCCCTTAGCAGAAGATATTGAAACTTTCTGTTTAAGTATCTGTCTCTTACCTGAGACTGTGAGCTCCTGAAGAGCAAGGACTGATCTTACTGGAGTTTGTATTTCCAGCCACCAGAATAAGCCCTCAACAATAAATGTGAATTTTAAAAAAATGTTTTTATCATTGTCAAGATAAACCTAAATATTTTATTTTCTTTGTGACTTCAATTAAAGTAGCTTTGGAATATAAATTTCTTTGTTTGTTCATTCAAATTTTAATTGACTGATCCCTACGTGCAATAGATATACTGGTAAGGAAGACCAGGAGATTTCTATGCTCAACACTTGGTGGGGAGGCAGATTAATAAAAAGATAATTACCAACTAGTATGACAAAGGCTTTGACTGGGCTAGTAAAGACTCTGACAGAATTATAAATGAGGACCAATAAAACCTACTTGGGTTAGAAAAGTATTTCTGGAAAAAGTAATTTCTAAACTAGAAATTATTATGATAATGTTTTCCTTGGGTGTTTTATATATTAGTTTTCTATAGTCAGAAAGAGTAGTCAATTATCTATGGGCCCATTGTTTGAGCATCCAGATAGTTTTACTTGCTATAAAGTAAGAATCAGGAAGAAGAAATTCATAAGCTACTAATGTGATATCAGACATTTACCTCTTTTATGTAAATAATTTTAGTCCCTTTTATTTGGAATTTTAAAATATTTACCATTTTCCCCCGCCCAAGATTTTTATTCACTCATTTTGCATGTAAATATGCAGATTTGAGAAGCTGATTACTTTCGTTATAAAGTCATTATTTCTCATATCACATTTAACTGTCAAACCACGCTATTTTAAAATTTGAAGGATCAGACTACTCAAAGAACTCTATTTGCATTACAATAGGGTACACATTAATAATAAGGTGATTCATTACTCTGTTAGCATCACCTTTACTTTAAATTGTCACTTTAAAGCTTGGGTGTCACAGCATGGTGTTCTGTGCCCAGGGTATTGGCATTTAAGAGATTTGTCAGACATCTAAAACTGGGCAGTGGCCAGAGGCATAAGAAAGATTGAATATCATATACCCGAAGGATAAAATACAAAGGTTCAATCCATAGTGTGAGAACAATTCTCAAATACCAAATTGGTATTTGAAGTTTCTCTCATCACTGCCCATTTTCCTTACTTAGGACCTTTCCTCTCTCATTCCACTTATATCCTGTATATCTAACAGTAAGAACATATTAAAGAGGTGATTTTATGTCCTCAGGCACAAAAAAACACTCATACATTATTAAAGAATATTTGACAAGTGTAAAAGGTTAAGTCATCCTCCCTCTAATGCCTCTAGCTCATTTTTACTTCTCTCTGGTCTGAGTTAGATGTCAATGCTCTATTCTGATTTCCATCCCTGGCTGAACAGTAGAATTACATAGTGTGTTAGGCATAATGGCCCCCAAAGATGTCTACATCCTAATCCCTGGACCCTGTGACTAGGACAGGTTGCACAGTAAAGAAAAATTAAGGTTGCAGATTGAATAAGTATTGCTAATTAGCTAACATTAAAATAGGGAGATCATCCTGAAATATATGGGTGGGCCCACTGTAATCACAAGAGCCCTTAAAAGCAGAAGAGTGACTCCGAAAAGACAATCAGAGAGATGATAGTGTCAACATAAGAAATGTCCAAACATGTAAGAATTATTAAGTTCATCTGAGCCAAACTGACAATTGCCAGGAAGCAAAATCTTAATGGATTGAGAAAATGCTCCAGAGAATGGCAGCTTTGCACCTTATTTTATACATTACAATCAAAGGAGGAGGCATGAGGGGAATAAAGGGGGGCATCTGTAATACTTTCAAAAATAAAGATAGCTCAGCCGGTGTTTCTCAGTGGCTGGGCACTGTCCTATGAACCAGGTGATCACGTTTAATTCCCAGTCAGGGCACAGGCCTGAGTTGAGGGCTCGATCCCCAGTGGAAGGCGTTCAGAAGGCAGCTGATCAATAATTTTCTCTCATCATTGATGCTTCCATCTCTCTCTACCTCTCCCCTCCTCTCTGAAATCAATAAAAATATGTTTTATAAAATATAAAGATAAATTTTTGAAAAAGGAGGAGGTATAAAGAGGGTTACATGAAATTCACTGGTGACAGGATAGGAAGGCAGGAGAAAGCAAAGCAGGGAAATCTCTGGGATTGGATAGAGTAAAATGAAGAGACAAATATTTCTTCTACATTGGTGGGTATAGGATAGTTAACAATTAACATTTATAGCACAGAGAGATGGTAAATGGGGAAACAAGATAACAATGAAAGGTTCCCTGGTCATGCACTTTGGTGGGAGATTGTGCCCTGAGGGGGTCTGGAGAAAGGGTTGCAGATCGAATTACTCAGCCATTCCAAATGTATGTTATTTTAGATGCAAAAAGACAATAAACAGGCTTCATTAAGGTAAAGATTGACCTTTGCCAAGGAAAATACGGGGCCTAGGACATTACTACCCACTACGACTCGCTTTTAGTTAAGGAGTTTTAATGTCAGATCATCCTATATGGTTACTTTTGGTCTGTGAGTTTGTAAGGCCTCCCCTGAGCTTGTCAGGTTTAGTATGTCGTTCTTTATCATCCACAGCAGCAGAGGGAAGCCTTGGTCTGATTTACTACAGCTTTGAAGTGGGCCATCAGTTAGGCAAAGCCAGCAGCCTCTAGAAACTGGAAATGGCAAGGAAATGAGATTTCCCCTGGAGACTTCAGAAAGGAATGCATCCTTCTGACACCTTAATCTTAGCCCAGCAAGATCTCTGCAGATTTATGATCTACTGAACTTTAAGATGATACATTTGTAAACTTGTGTTTTTTAAAACACTAAGCTTATGGCAGATTGTCACAGAAGCAACAGAAAGTTAACTGGGGGACCTTTTAAATATCCTGAAGCCCACATCACACCCCACATCAATTACATGAAAATCTCTAGGGGATATAGGGGGAAAGGCCAAGATGCACACATCAGGGATTTTTTAAACTCCTTAGAAGATTCCAATATGCAGCCATATTTCAGAACTGCTGCTGTAAGTATATTCTCTGGTCTCCACACAAAGCTGACCTGCCTTAGCATGGACTCCTCACTGGTGGGGAGGCCAGGCCAATAGGATGCCATGTCACTCCACGGTGGTTCCAGGGGCAGAGCACCAACATCATCTTGGAACTTGTTAGAAAGAGATGATCTGGGCCCCAACCTGACTGAGTCAGAATCTGCATTTTAGTAGCCAAACTAGGTGATTTTGTATGCACATTACATTTTATGAAACAAATAATGTACACTGGCAGTTGCCTTCCTCATCTAAAATGTTTCTGCTACTTGCAATATTTTTAGAGAGTAGAAGGGAGGGGGAGGGAGTCAGGGGAGAGATAGGGGAGAGAGAGAGAGACAGACAGAGAGAGAGA